CCCTTTTCTTTCCCTGTTTAGGACTGTGGGAAGCCCTTGTCCATTGAAGCAGATGAGAATGGGTGTTTTCCACTGGATGGGCATGTGCTGTGTATCAAATGTCACACAGTTCGTGCCAAAACAGCACGCTGAGGAGCTCGGAGTGGGCATACCCTCGAGACCCCTGCACTCAATACTCTTCCCCTCCCCACCATTGTCCTGTCCCTCTGCCTGACAGGGCAGATTATTAACAATGGAGACTATGCCAGCGCGGTTCTTTACTCATGTAGGATTCACCGTTCCTAGAATTCACTCTGCACCCTCACCAAGAAAGGACATCTTCTCCTGTTGCCACTTCCTGGCCATAGTGTATTCCAGGCTGGGGCTATGATCAAGGTGAGTGCACAATCTCTGTTCCCTCAAGACTCTGGAGAAGAAGGACCAGACCTCCACCACTGCCTGGTGGAAGCGGCAAGAACAACCTGGTGGCAGGTGCTGGGAAGGGCTGAGCGTTCTTCTGCTCCATGGAGCCAAGAATGATGATTTGACCTTAGAAGGTGGAAGCCTCCATCTCGGAACCACTTCTGTCTTTTATTATTTTTTAAATTTATTTTTTTTTTTCCTTGTTCTTGTGCCACCTCATTATCAGGATGTCTTCCCCTGCCCCCTCCCTCACTTCTGAGTTAGAATGTGGAGGTAGAACATATTGGGAATCTCTGTTATCATTGCTGGAAAAAGCTAACCTACTATAGCTTTTCTGTCTCTAATGGATTTTACTGGCTAACTGTCTTGTCATGTTTTTTTTCCTTAGCCAGATTAAACTGGCAATGTTTGGAATCCTACTCTGTTCCTGAGTTTGGAAACTTTTTTTTTTTAAAAAAAAAAAATCTTTTTCCCTCCCCAAAATGAATTGTTTCCCAGTGTGGTTTCTGGACAGCCAGGCTGAGCACCAGAGTAGCAAAGCAGTCCAAAGAATGCATGTTTACAAATAAAGACCATCATAAGGATGGGTAGCACGTGGTGAGGAGGCATCTCAGTGTGTGGATGAGGATTCAGCAGACTGAGGAATGTCTCCCCGTTCCAGTAGGGATTCTTTCACTGCTGTCAGTGAAGGATGCAGTGTAATTGCAATGTACTGTCTGGCTCTAAGTGTTACTGCACTGAGCGCCATTTCCTGGACTAGAAACTCTCAAACTGTACAAACCTTTTGAATAACTACACTGTCCAACCACTGTTTGCATTCAATAAAATGTGGGGTTTTTCCATTAACATGTGGCTGCTTTATTTCTTCAACTACCCATGAGAACTGCTGTCTTAGGCAGTCGAGAATGTATAGTTGCTATTCCACATAGTCCCCAGAGATGAGGAGTCTGAAAATGGCCTTTTTCTCTCTACTTCTTGGTCTCCTTTTCAAACTGTTTAGTTTCCTACTTTTCTGTGCCTGAAGAGTAGCTCTCATTTAAAGCAGTGGAAGACTGTATTTCAGTACAGCAAGATTGTAGTCTGCTTGATATGTCACTGGGAGGTGAGTTATTACAATCCACTTGTATCAGACTGGAATAAAGTGGTCAGTTAGCTTGTTTTGCCTTAACTATTGCTTCTCAGAAAGTGTTTGTGCTTGATGTTTATGGTTTTAAGCATGGTACTGTCTTGGTCACTGCAGGTGAAACTCCTCTCTGTGGTAAGCATCAATGCTTCTACACTTCAAAGACATGAAACCTACTCTTGTTCTCTTGCCAGTTTTTGGGAAATCTTTAATGACTCCTTGTAAATTGATCCAGTAAACGCTTTGAGGTTTCCTATAGGATGAACAAAGAATAAACAAATTGTACATTTGCTTGCTTTTTCTTTCCTTATCTGAGTTCTTCCTGGTTTGTAGGCATTGTTTTGAGTGGTTGTTTCTAGATTATGTGATTAAAAGCTTACGCCCACAAACACCAAGGAACACAGAGGAGAGAAACGATGACAGGGGATAAAAGCACTCTAACCCAGCTCTTCCCAGCGCTATCAGAGAACTATAGCCTGGGTGTCCGGGTATGAAACCTGTCCAACGGAGTCAATGGGAAGGGCTCTCTGGATCACTTTGCAGATTAAAGGGAGCTTAGTCCCTCTGAAGGACATGGGGTAGAGGGGAAGAGCATTTGGTGTCTGTGCAACACTTGTTATGGGATGTGTAAGGGCAGGATCAAAGGCAGGAAAAGGGAGTGATCAAGGAGCGGAAGCAACATGGGAAAACTGGGGGGAAAAGGGCACAGAAGGGGCTGGCTGCACATATGCAGTACAGTTGTCCAGCCATGCTCTGTGTGTTGTCAGTGCAGTCAGTCCTGGCTTCTTACTAAACTCTTCTGGTTTTTTTTTTCTTTTTTTTTTTTTTTTTTCCTGTGAGAAGGGACTCTCTTCAGTGCACATGGAGATCTAAGTGCCAGCAACTGGAAACAGCCAAGTGCATGCATATTGTGTGGATGTGTATGTCCATGCATAATCGCTAGCAGAAATCAAGTCAGAGTAACTGGTGAGCAAGTAGGATAAGAGACTTGAGAGCCATGAGTTGGCATGGCTGCGAGTCTGGCCAGATGCTGGAAACACCAGTCTGAGAGTCAGCTACTAGAGCTCCCAGGAGGTGCAAGCCAGCTACTCTTGGGTCTGGAAGTGAGCTACTGGTAATACTGGACCAACTGCCACAGAACGCTTTATATCTGTGTGTGAGGTGACTGGGAGACCAGGGAATCCTGGGACCAGCTGCTGGGTAAAGCCAATATTTAAGGCTAATGACTGGAGGGCTCCCATGTGTGCGTGCATCCGCATGAGGGGTCTGAGTGCCCACCACTGGAGTGGGGCTGCAGGCCTCGAGGACTCCTACGTCCCGGTGCCAGCAACGGAGGAGAGCAGCTCAGGCTCCAGATTGTGGAACCAGCTGCTGGGTAGCTGGTCTTGCACACTAGAGGGATCTGTAGTATATATGTGTATATTTCCCACTAACAGGTTCATCCTGATCGGCTGGAGATGGGAATAGGACCAGGCTGTTTGTGCTGTGCTTGCATGAGTGCTATGTTTTCTGCCTCAGGCCAGTCATGTACAGTGTGTGTGTATATATATATGCACATATTATATACATGTGTATTTTGCATGCATGAGTGCCTATTGGGAATATGTGCTCAGGCTTGCTGCTGGCTGTACCTGAGGACGTGGAACTGAGCAGCCTTTTCTCTATCAGGCCAGCTGGTTCAGCAACTCCCAACCGATGAAGCA